TTCCTCCTTCTATTAGTTCAAAAGATATATACGTATGTATGTACATACATATATAGATATATGTCTTACTTTAGTGAATACCACTGACTTTTTAACATACATTTATTAATGAAGGTGAAAACTAATGTACTAATTCACTTTCTACACAAATGCAAAGGCATTAGGATACTTTAACTTCAATTACCTTTTTTCTGATTTATTGTTCCCAGCATTTTAGTTCTGACTTTGTTAAATGTACAAATTATATATGATTTTTGTCATCATGTTGTTTTCTACAGAGAGTGTTGTTTAAATTTGACTATATTTACCTATGTCTTCTCTCATATTTCTCTTTTCAGTTCAGTTCTTAATTGAGTCCAGTTTCTTCTTTCTGAAATGTATCTTAGAAGTTCAGTTAGTCGAGTCTTTCAGTTGTAAAATCACTTTGCTTTAATCTATACCTCACTGTCATTCTTAAAATGGAGAGTATCCAATTCTCAGGTCTTTGAAGATGTTATTCTACTGTTCTTTAGCTTGAAGTGTTGCCATTGAGAAATCTGCTATCTAATTCCTTTTTTGTGTGAGTAATCCTTTTTCTTTCTTTCTTTTTTAAAAATCTACCTGCTTTTAAGGTCTTTTGTTTTTAGTGTTCAGCAGTTTCACTACTAAGTTTCTTGGTTTGGATTTCCTATTATTTATCCTGAATTATATGTAGGCTTCCTACATCTGTGGAGTCACATGTTTTTTATGCTTTGGAAATTCTCAGTCATTACTGCTTCAAACTTTGCCTCTCTTTCCTTCTCCTCTTCTTTGATGATTAAATGGATTTTTAGGTCTTCTCAATCTATCCTGCATATTCCATATCTTTTTTCATATTTTTCATGTCATGTCATTCTGTGTTGATATATCTGAGTAATTTCTCCAGAGTTGTCTTCCAGATCAGCATATTTGGTTAATCATGACCTGTGAGAATACTGGATGCTGTCTTATAGAGGGCATCCTTATTTGTGCTTGGAGTGAGGAAATACTGCTCCCCCAAGGCTGCTCTAAGCATTCGAGGGTCCTGAGAAATGTAGGCTCTGAGGTGCAGCGTCTTCAATTTCGAGCTCAAGGATTAGTCTCCCAGTATTGTTTATGGATCTGCTGTACATCTTTGGTCTAGGGACAACCATGTATTTCACTTTTATTTACTACTCACTGCCCACTACTGTTTAGTGTTTTGAGAAAGGTGCCTCAGAATATCTGGCACCTTTAGCATACAGAATAACTGTATGCTGAGATACCATTTGAATTTTAAAAGCCTAAAGATGGCACTGCAAAATTTCACCATGTTTTTGGCATATTCCGTATTATTGAAACAATTTTGAACCCTGATTTTCTTTCCTTTGTTCAATTTAAAATTTAATGACAAGATTGGATTTCTGTTTATCTAATTTTTTTTTTGAATATCTAGGATGGAGAATTGGGGAGTTTCCATTAGAAAATTGCTTCCAGTCTGAAATTGTCAGATTAAAGTAAGTTGGGCCACTGTTGTTTAACCTTCTATGAAGCCACTGAGCTGTGATGTTATGCAGTCTTGATTGCTTCATCTTGCCCATAAACACATAATAAAATGTTTTGTCCAAAGTCTGTAAACAATTCCCACAGCAGTCTTCAGATCTGCTCATGCTAGGAACTGTTGAAATATCCTTCCTTTGTGTTTATATGGTGGACCCACATGAGCTCTTAGTAGTTACCTCCTTTGTTTCAGTTTCATAATCAACCACAGAATTTTGCTAGAAATCAACACCAAGCCTCTTGGTCTCTAGATTTCTGTATCACTCTTTCTATTTGAAGTAGGACCCCTTACTCTAATTAGTCTTCTGGCATGACTTACTGAAGATCACTGAATATGTTTCTGAGATCATATCTAAATATCCTTTTAATTCCCTGGGCAGTAATTTCTCTTGATCCCCTGACTGGGACTGATTTTTCAGCTTGTTGGGTGTTCTTTCCATGTCTTTTTTTCCTATCCCGGCCTTGGTTTCCCTCTTTGTGATGTTCTGACCTGATCGAATGGAAGTATTCTGCTGTGATGAGGATTAAGTAAACAGGAACTGGTAGCTTTGCTTTCCCTTTGCCATCTGTTAGTATTACATGTGCTCAGTTCCTTTTTAAAATTCATCTTCTTGATCTAAATCTGCTTTTAAATGAAACTTTTCTTTGGCATTCCAGTCTCAGCTATTTTGAGTATTAGTTTCTCTTGCTTTTTCTTAATCTTTTGGAAAATTTCTATCATTTTCTAACTTATACAGAGGTATTTGGAAAATCTGGGCCAGAGGGCTAGTTGTGTAGTGTTGGGGAGGAAGAAAATTTTCTCTACCCTTCTAAGTTCTTCTTGCTGGTCTAATAATTAAATTGACATGAAATACATTAACAGAGGAAAATCAAACAAAGTTTAATAACATGTATATATGGGAGAGACCCAGGAGAACTGAGTAACTTGCCAACATGGCCAAAACCCTCATCTTGAATATCGTCTTTGGCTAAAGAGAACAGAGAATATTTGGAGGTAGTGGTTTGGGACTTCAAAGGGAAGAAGGCAAGTCACATGAAGATGGGAAAGCAAGTGTTTGGTAAATGGGTATTTGTTGGGCCAGGCAGAGACAGTGGACACAGAGTGGAGTCTTAAGATATGTCTGATGATAACTCTATCCTGAGAACAGGCCTGTTCCTGAATTCTTTAGGGAGCTAAGGGGGAGGTAAAAAGAAAAATTTCCTGAGTCTTCTGTCTCTTAAAAGTAACCTAAATTAACCCTCGTGCCAAAGAGACATATTTTGGGGTGGCAAATTTTGCTCCCCTGCAGCAGTCACACTGTTGTCTCAGAGGCTTCCCTTTCCTTCCCGTCCAGGATCCCCTCTGACTTAGGGCTGTTCTCAACTGGCATTTTCAACAAATGAATCAATAGTTTAAGAACTGATAACCTCCTGATTATTGAGTCCTTCTTTCCATGATCATATGCTACATTCTGACATATGTTGACTTGTCTCATGATATAATTTCCTGAACTCTTCCATTGATCTATAATAACTCATCCTGTGTCAGAATGTATCCCCTACATGTTTAGTCCTATGCATAAACAGATACTTGACAATTACTTAAGTTACAAATAAATGTATAAACAGTATTTTGAATTGTTTGTAAAGATTTTTTTTTTTTTTGCCTAAAAATGTCATAGGTTTTTAGATATAAGCTCTTCTAAGGTGAGACTCTGCCACATCTTTCATAACCAATCCCATTACTAGTTATGGCAGTAGGCATCTTAGTGGTTAGGACATAGACTGCATGCAGACATACACAACTTGGTTTGGATTCTGGCAATATCACTTACTAGCAGAGTGGTTGTGGGTAGATTCACCTCTTTGAGCTTCAATTTCCTCAAATGAGGCTAATTTTCCTTTAAAATGAGGCTAGTAATAGTACCCACCTCATAAGATTGTTGGGATGGTTCATTGAGATAATACGTGTAAAGCGCTTGAGCACAAAGTGAGACACTCAGGAAGAGCTCAGCACGTGATCGCTGGTTATTATTTGCCTGCTCTGTGCCAGTCATCATGCTGGCCCCTGGGGAGATGGAGCTGGAAAAGGAATTCACAATCAGTGGAGTCAGGAGTCACTGAAATGAGTAAATACAGCATCATTTACAATGTGCTGCAGGGATATGGGTGATGAACTTGTTCTTTTTTGCATAGGTAATCTGGGAAGACTGCTTCGAGGTGGTGACATATGAATAGCATATCGTTCAGGGGGCTCAATGGTTGGCTTGCAGATGCCGTGCGGTAAATTTTTGGAGACTGGATTGTGCTCATTGGCCATAGACCCAGGGATGCTGTCTAGCTGGTATCCATATACATGTGGTATCATGTATTTTTCATTTTTCTCCTATGTATATTTCCATATGGTATAGTATGTAAGTCTCAACCATGTGGCATTTGTACTTGGCCCAAATTTGTACCTGTTGTTCCTCATAATTCCGCCATAGCTTGTGTTTAATCCTTGATTGGATTGTTACTAATATTTCATCTTATTAAAGATGAAAGTCCTTGGGGGCAGGAAGTGTTCACCCAGAGAGTACACAGCATGTAGTAGGTCCTTGGTAATGTTTGATGAATGAATAAACTTTGACTGCTGACCCCACCGCTGGTTATGGTATCTTGAGTGAGTCTATTAACCCCTCAGAGCTCTACCTGTAAAGTGGGTTGGCATATCTCCCAGGGTGATAGTGAGGACTAAGTGAGGTGATGCCCAGTGCCCAGTCAGCATCACTCCGTTCTGACTGGCATGCCGCTGACTCCAGGGGCTTTCCATAGACTGCATGGCAGGGTGAAGCCTGGGGCCATTTGCTGCACCTGCTGGCAGAGGACAGGTTTCTGAACTCTTTCTTAATGCTGGGATGAGACCTGTCAGGTAATAAGGAGTTTATACGGAACATGACTGAAGGGGCCTTTTGGAACCTGGATGGCCCCTTGGATTGCCCCCTGTCCTCCCACCCACCCTTGATTCCTCCGTGAGTGTTCAGGGGTGTTACTGACTTGGGGAGGGACCACACATGAGTCCCCTCCTCTCCTTCTGCCTCCTGAGCTTCACTGTGAAAGGGAAGCTACAGTCACCAGGTGGAGAGGAGTCACAGAGAAGGTGATTCCCATCTGGGACTCAGTGTATCGAAATATAAAACTCTGGGGAAGAAAGCCTCTCTGAATATAGAAACTGCAGACCCTAGGAGGCCTCTGGGGCCACAAACTATGAATTAGAAGAAAGATAACTTACCCATTTTTAAGGTTTTGGAGAGGAAAAAACATTAAATTTAAGCTGTAAGTGTTTTTACGTGTTCAGACCCACCAAGTGAAGCTTATTGCTGGTTTCGTGGGACCTTCCAGGAAGTCATCCATAAATTTTATTCCCTTATTTATTCATTCACCCCCTCAGCAGCTGTTTGGTGAATGCTCCCTGAGCCTGAGATTTGCTAGGATTAAAGTCAGTTTTAGTCCCTGCTGCCTCTCTGGACCTGTTCTGAGGGTGTTGAAGGACTGCTATCTTGGAAAGACTTTGGCAGTGAGGAGAACTGAGGCCAGAGAAGGTACACGGCCTTTGATGAGTAAATTGTCCCCAAAGCTCTGAGAACAGTTCCATGAAGCAGGTCAGATGCAACTCTTGAAGTCTGAGCGATGAGGTGTCCAACATGCTCCGGCCCCAGCCAGGGAGAGTGTCCCATACTCTGGACGCATTCCAGCAGCCCTGACAGGCAGACCTTACAGGGCTTCCAGTGGCCTTGGAGATTCCTCTTTGCTACATTTCTGGTGCTTCTCATCTGTGTCCCATTCTTAAAACTCAAGACCTGACCAACTCAGCCAGGTTTTGCCAGGTTGGCAGGCCCGAGGCTGCCTTTGTGGTAGAGTTAAATGGCCGAGTAAGTCCTGCTGGGTACTGGTCCCACCTAGGTCTGGAGCAAGAAGCAGGCAAGCCAGCGACTCAGTACAGTAAGGAGACAGCTCTGCTGCTGCAGCCGCTGCTGCCACTGTGTGCGTGCATGCGCGCGCGCACACACACAGGCTCAGCACATAGTAAGTGTTCAGGAAATATTTGTGAAATGAATGAATAAGTACTTTGATGGAAGGAGCCCACAGTATAGTTTGGGTCTAAAGGGAATTTAAGGAAGGCTTCCTGGAGGAAGTGGCATTTAAATTGAGGTATGGAAAAGAGGTCCTGATGGGGGGAAAGACTGAGGGCAGAAGAAGAGGGTGTCAGAGGATGAGATGATTGGATGGCATCACGGATGCAATGGACAGGAACTTGGGCAAACTTTGCAAGTTGGTGAGGGACAGAGAGGCCTGGCAGGCTACAGTCCATGGGGTCACAAAGAGTCAGGCACAACTGGGCAACTGAACAACATGGAAAAGAGGAAGGCGTCGCCAGGCCAAGTGGGAAAGGATGAGAGTCCTTGGCAAAGGCTGAGGTGGTAGAGTTCAGCCCCAGTGCCCCTGGGGTGCTAGCAAATGCTGCTGAGGGGGTAAACTGAGGCTAGATGTTCAAAAACCTAGGCTTGGTGGCAGATAAACTAGACATAAGCAGTATCTGAATTTTAATGGGTGAAGACTTTTATACACTCCTTCCTTTTTTTTTTGCCTAGTGAGGTTTAATTGTCCTTAAAATGAAGAAATGGCGATAGTGGGGATTTAACCCATGATGCTTGAAAAGTTTATAAGATGGTCATTTTTGCACCCAAGAACTTTGAAGCTAGATGATCTAGGGTTGGGATTCCCAGTTCTGTGCTTTACAGGGCAAGTTCCTTGTCCCAGAAAAGCACAGTGCCCACCTCACAGCATCAAATGAGATGACCCACATAGGGCACGGTTACTTTGCTTGCCTGTGAACCTGTCTGTCCCTCCAAGCCCTTCCAAGGTAGAGATCCAGCCTGAGTCACTGGCAGGTGCGGTGCCCAGCAATGCTAGGCACACAATAGGTGCTCAGTAAAACGGCTCAGCAGTAAAGAATCAGCCTACAAGGTAGGAGACAGGGGAGATGTAGGTTCGATCCCTGGGTTGGGAAGATCCTCTGGAAAAGGAAATGGCAACCCACTCCAGTATTCTTGCCTGGGAAGTCCCATGAACAAAGGAGCCTGGCGCGCTACAGTCCATAGAGTCTCAAAGAGTCGGACAAAACTGAGCGACTTAAGCAAGCAAAATAAACAATGCCGCGAAGGATTCTTTGGAAGTGTGTGTGGCCCTTTGGGTTCCAGCCCTCCCCCAGGCCCCAGTCAAAGCTTTGGGGCCGAGGCGGGGGTGATTGAGTTCTGCCACCCCTTCCCCTTCCCCTGCACCTGGCGCTGCAAAGGGAACACGGTAGGCGCTCTAGGATGTCTAGAGACAGGTTGGTGGGATCGGGTTGTGTCAAATACCAACTTTATCCTCCGGGCTTTACCCTATGACCCGGGGATGCCAAGGAGCTAGGAGTTCTCGCCCCTGAGCCTCCAAGACGGAACCGGCAGCCTGGGAGCAGCGCACGGGCGGAGCCGGCTTTTCTGTCGGAGGACGTAGGCCCGCGCACCGCGCCTTTAAGGCGACCAGCCGAGCCGGCCCTGGAGCTGAGAGCCGGTGCGGGCGGGAGGGTGAGCGCATCTGCTGGACCTGAGCTGGGGGCCAGGACCGAGGACAGGCGTCTGGATAGCGCAGGGGTTCCAGACGGCTGAGGTCAGGTGAGGTGAGCGCCGGTCGGGGTGGGAGGCGAGGGGGGTGGTGGTGCTCATTTAGGAAGGAATATCCCCGGGCTCCCCCAGTGGCCCCATGAGCTACCCTACACTTCCGAGTCCGGACTGCCTAACCTCTCTCCAGAGGGCACGATGCGAAGAAGGGTTGGGGACCTGTACCTCCCTTTTTCCTCCATTTCCCCGCCCTAGCACCAGCCCCTGCGCGCTCCCTTCCAGTGCCTGGATAGGTTTGACATTCCTGAATCCCTGGTCCCTATTTCCTGGGGCCGGGCTGCCTGCTGCCCTAAGCACCCGGACAAGGTGAGGACTGGTCGGGGACCTGCACGCTTTCTATTCGGCCTCCCCGCTTCTTGCACCACCCCCTAGGCGCCCCCTCCCCAACTGCCTCGATGGTTTGGAGGCTGCTGCACCCGCGTTCCTCCCACTTTCTGGGGAAGGGCTACAGCTCAGCTGCCCTGCCAGCTGCTGTGATCGTCTCCATCCTGCCCCAGACAAGTGCACCCCTCAAGACCTTTCCCAACCATAACTTACCTCCAGCAGCCCTTCAACTCTCCCTTCACCCTCCTTCAGTTCCTGTGCATCCTCTCCTCCGCTCAACCCGCCCGTCAGGTTGCTGGTCCAACCACTCCAACCGCACCGCCCGGCAGCCCCAGTAGCCCCGGCATCCCCAGGGCTTCCTGGCCGTATTGGAAATGCGGATTGCGTAACGCTGGCTGCGGGGCAGAGCTCGCGCGGGTTGTGCACCCTTGCACCCGCAGAGGAGTAGAGGAGGCCAGGCTGAGGGAGGGAGGAAGAGGTTGCAGACTGAAAGGCTGTGCCAGCAGGCCACTGTATGAATCCTTTTCTGTGCCCGCGGGCCTGAGTGGTTAAGAAAAGATCTCACCTCCCACCGGCTCAGAAATCCCTAATGGCAGACTCCACCTGGCTGGGATTTAAAAATAGCTTCTTATTAATAATAGCTGACATACAGTAAGCAAAAACAGGGTGTCAGGCCCTTTCCTAAGCACCTTAGGAAACCTTACCTGGTGAACTCTACCAATAGCCCCATATGAGGTAGGTGCCTCTACTGTGCCCATTTTTTAGAGGAGAAATGAGAGGGATTCAGAGGTGGGTCTCTCCCAGGACACCCTGAGTCACCTCAAAGCCCCCATTCTGAACCGCTGGGCTTACTTTGTTGTAACTAATAAATTTTTATCAACAACAGTTTTTAATACAGAAAAACTACAGAAGTTAATAACCTGTGTCCCTAGCATAAATTAATTTTTCTAAAATTAGGTTTTCAGACCAGCATGGGATCCTTGGTACCCTCTTTAAGGATATTGACGCCCAGAGAGAAGGACGTCACACAGCCTGAAAGTGCCAGGACTGGGGTGCAAAACAGGTCCTGGGTTGGCTAACTGGTACTTCCTGGGTTCTCTGACGGCTGCCTCAGCCCTTCAGTCGGATCTCAGAGACCCCACCGCCCTCACCTTCTGCATCGTGATGTCTTCCTTTCCTGCTTCCGTTGCTCTAACCAAGTTAGTGAACACACGTTCTACCCTCTGCTGCCTTTCTTTAGCTTGTCCCCTGCTCTGGGAACACTCTTCCTGGAATCTCTAATGTCTAAATTGTCAAAAGTTCAGAAATAAAACAAGTAAAACCAATAATTACCAGAGTAGTAATTAGTGAGAATTTATTGTGCACACTCCAAAAAGACAAAACCAGGAGCATTAAAACTAAAATAGTGGAATGAGGCTCAGGGATAAACTGTTTTAAAGCAGCTTCAGTTCAGTTCAGTTCAGTCGCTCAGTTGTGTCCGAATCTTTGCAACCCCATGAACCGCAGCCCGCCGGGCCTCCCTGTTCATCACCAACTCCCGGAGTTTACCCAAATTCGTGTCCATTGAGTTGGTGATGCCATCTAACCACCTCATCCTCTGTTGTCCCCTTCTCCTCCTGCCTTCAATCTTTCCCAACATCAGGGTCTTTTCCAATGAGTCAGCTCTTCGCATCAGGTGGCCAAAATATTGGAGTTTCAGCTTCAACATCAGTCCTTCCAATGAACACCCAGGACTGATTTCCTTTAGGATGGACTGGTTGGATCTCCTTGCAGTCCAAGGGACTCAAGAGTCTTCTCCAGCACCACAGTTCAAAAACATCAATTCTTCGGCACTCAGCTTTCTTTATAGTCCAACTCTCACATCCATACATGACTACTGGAAAAACCATAGCTTTGACTAGATGGACTTTTGTTGACAAAGTAATGTCTCTGCTTCTTAATATGCTGTCTAGATTGGTCATAACTTTCCTTCCAAGGAGTAAGCATCTTTTAATTTCATGGCTGCAATCACCATCTGCAGTAAAGCAGCTTATATAGTGAGAAAGCAGTGGTGGTTTATTCTTTACAGTAGTTGGTTATAATATTAGAATTTTCTTAAGTAATAGGGAATTAGTCAATAGTTACCTCATGTCAACCTTGGGAAACAGTTCAGATTTTGTGTATGATTTCTAGAGATATGAGCAAGAACTCACATAAGTGAGTCTTCCAAAATAAGTTAAATTAAGCTTTGTGTGGCTACACTAGTATCATCTACTCAGGGAATCTTCAAGGCTGGTCTCCCATTTGTTTTGATTTAACAAAACATTACCTACCCCTTAGCGTCTAACTTGTCTGTACCCTTGAGAACACTCCCTTGATTTCTCCCCTGCTCCCAACTAAAATCTCTTTCTTTCTCCCTTGGGATGTTGTAGCTGGCCACCTTCTACTCCCATAATGGTGTTTGGAAAGTTCTGCAGCACACATCTGCCTTGTCCTCTTGGGTGCAGTCGTGCTGGCAGGATTGCTGGTATTCCCCAAGACTCCTCTTCCCACCTGCCTGGTGAAGCCCCAGGACAGAGAGAGGTCCATGGGGGATGGGGTGGTTTCTGAAGTAAGGATAAGCTCAGAACTTCTGAAGCCTGCAGCCTCAAACTCCCTTCATTGAGCTGAAGCTGATCACAGGGAGAATGGCTCAGTGAGGTACTGAATGTTACAACTACATATTTGTTCATAACGCTGAGGTTTCTGGTCCCACTAGAAAAATCAGAGAGACTGAGGTCCAAATCCCATTTCTACCACTGGGTAAC